CTGAAAATGGCTTGAAACTGAGCTCAAAGTAGCAGAAAAGTTAAGTTTTTGCCAATGTTCAAGAGTAAACGAATGACCTCACACGTCTAATACATGCCAGCTGGTGGGTCTAACATACGTTCACAAATGTGCTGATATTATATATACAATTATTACAATATTGCATGACAGTAAATCTTCTGTTTTTTGGTTTGAATAAAAATTCATTACGTGAATTAAAAATTAAAATGGAATTCATTTGTAAAGCCTGAAAACATAACTAATGAACAGAGGAAATGTTAGTTTAGTGCCAGGAATGCTTGCATTGTTTATTGTGGACCCTATTTTGAAATTGGAATATTTTAAACTTTGCACTATATTGGCCAAATTACCAATTTCCAACCATTTTATTTGTAGTTCAAACAATTGAGTGCTCAATCGATAGAATAGAAGTAATACTAGTGAAATAGCGAAGAATTTGGTTGACTGGAATAAGGTAATTGGCCTAAAATGGGAGTCAAAGTCGGCAAAATCGCCGATGCGTAAGTATCACTGACACATCAAAATTCACGAGAGCATAATTTTGTCAATTTTCCATCAAATTTCGTACTTTTTTTTTTATTACCTTCAGAAAAAGATTCTCTTCCATTTCATAAGAAAAAATAACAAAATTATTTGAAATTTGGCCTCTGGACCCTGAAAGGGTTAAAGTCTTATATACATACATGCAAAATACTATCTCATCACATTCTGATATAATACAGGTAACTAGTTACACTCTTATTGTAATTTTTCTTAGAATTTTATTTTGAATTAACAGAATAATCTTAATATGAGCAAAGTGTTCTTATTCCCCTGAATCTTGTTACACTTTTATTTGCTTCATATACATTTGTTAATATCAGTGTAATTCATTTTGTGAAAATCATTATTGTCTTTATATAAAATACTACAGCCCTTCTAGATGTAGGTAAGTTTAAACTTGCCCAAAATGCTCTGCTTAACTAAGGTGCTTTCCATGCGAGTGATGCAATGTCATCCAATTTTGTACAAATGATGTAATCATGTGGAAATAAAGTGACTGACTGATTAATAATGTAATACCTATGATAGTCAGGTAATATATATCATGTGATTCTTCAACCTTAAATAGTTAATACGTATACTGATCACAAGATTTCAAAAAAAAATCATACATGATAGAGAATAACCAAGCTTAGATTATTGATCAGTGCATCAAAGTTAGCTTAAAACAATGAATTTGGTTTCTGAACTGGATAAAAGTTAAAAGTTTTGCTGACATTGTGAGAAATGCTTATGTTATGTTGACCAATACATGGATGGAGAGATCCTGAAAAACTTTCTTACAACATAGACCAAAATTGGGATATACACCTACTCAAATGATGTATGATTGAAGTCTACAAGTGGAAGTGGCATAAATGAAGAAGCTACATACAGGGTGCTGAGGATTTCTAGCTAAGAACCCAAAATAATCAATTAATATTTGTTAAATTCAGATTTAGAAAGTATGTGGGTACAGTGAAGTACTCGTGCAGCAATAAGAGTGGTCAATGAGTGGAAAAATATACCAAGCAGGGTTATCGAGGTAAAAACCTTCAACAGCTTTAAAAGTAAGTTAATATATATATATATATATATATATATATATATATATATATATATATATATATATATATATATATATATATATATATATATATATATAATATATATAAATATATATATAAATATATATATATATATATAAATATATAAAATATGAAGGCCTGGATATGAGAAGAACCTGCCAAGCATGGGCCAGTAGACCTTCTGTAGTGCTCCTCCTTTCTTATACTCTTATGTCTACACATAAAAGATATTTGGATAACATGGAGTCTTAAGAATAGATACAAAATGAATCCCAGGGCTAAAAATAAAAAAAAAGTTATAATGAAAGGCTGAAAAAACTCACGATGTCCACCATAAATCATAAGAGGTAAATATAATACAGTTAATGGTACATAAGAACACGAAAGAAGAGATCATTTTTTTAGCATTTTCAATTATATGCCTCAGATATAAATTTAAAAAAAATGGAGCCGAAGGATACTGGTAATTTTAAAAACACTGGTGAAACACAGGAATAAAATGAAGGATAAAGATTTTTTACTTAAATGAAGAGCACATTAATGATGACGGGATACCACGAGCACAGCTCTACTACTCTACCTACAAACAGGTAATTATTATTATCATCATCATTATATAGAATAATTTTTAAACTTACTAAAGCAAGGACAACATCAGAGAGAGGTGGAAGTGATGATCAAGAGAGGTTTGTTTACACTGAGTGTTGTCAGTCACCACCATCACCACACAATACCAACATCATCACAAAAAAAACTTGTTGCCTCCTTTATCGACTCTTCATTTACCTGGACACCAAATATTTATCTTTCTAAATTATTCTCTTGAATATCCTTGCAAAGATTTGGTCTTGTTACTGTGAATATTTATAATTATTCGCATTCACACTTCAAAGAATTTGTTCATGGTCTGTAAAAGTGAGATGAATGATGCTTGTCAGTAATGTAATGGTGATACTGTAATAATTTATTTATACAGATAAACTACGTAGGTATATATGGATGAAAGGAGACAAGTGGATACACCTGGGACATCCTTAATAGACACCTTTCCGTCCTGGACATTGGTCACTCCAAATAAGTTTATTCAAGCGCAATTCCACAATCTTTGGATGGTTATAATTATCATACGTAATAATTTATGTATAAATTACCTAAGATAATCCAAAAGAGTCAGAGTCCTGGGACCTAGGTTCCAGGACCGAAAAGTATCCAATAACGATTCCTAAATTGTAAGCACTGGTGCCCTTTCATCCATATTAACTGTATCATTATACCTTCTACTTCCATAGATAAATAATTAAGTACGTAATTAAATAACAAAGGCTCCAGTGAGGAGAATTTGGGTGGGTTCGGCCCCCAAAATTCCCTCAGCCCTCTCAAAGCCTCCAAATAAATACGTATAGTAATAATACTTTTTGTAGATGAATGGTTCAGAGAACCATTCATCTATATATTCATCTGAATATTCTATTCAAGATTGATGGACTGAACACATCGACTCAAGGTTGAGGGACTGATTACCTCATTCTCCTCCTGTTCTTCAAGTTTCTCCTATGTACGGACTGATGAAGCCACTGTGTGGCGAAACGTTTCCACAATAAAGATACCCAAGAGTTGCACATGTGTCTAATTTATCAGTAATAATACTGAAGAACAAAAAGGCACACTACCATCACTGGAGTTTACCTGGAGAGAGTTCCGTGGGTCAACGCCCCCGCGGCCCGGTCTGTGACCAGGCCTCATGGTGGATCAGAGCCTGATCAACCAGGCTGTTACTGCTGGCTGCACGCAATCCAACGTACGAGCCACAGCCCGGCTGGTCAATTACCGACTTTAGGTGCTTGTCCAGTGCCTGCTTGAAGACAGCCAGGGGTCTATTGGTAAGAGAGATTAAGATTTTGTTCGGATTTTTAACCCCGGAGGGTTAGCCACCCAGGATAACCCAAGAAAGTCAGTGCGTCATCGAGGACTGTCTAACTTATTTCCATTGGGGTCCTTAATCTTGTCCCCCAGGATGCGACCCACACCAGTCGACTAACACCCAGGTACCTATTTGCTGCTAGGTGAACAGGACAACAGGTGTAAGGAAACGTGTCGAAATGTTTCCACCCGCCGGGAATCGAACCCGGGCCCTCCGTGTGTGAAGCGGGAGCTTTAGCCACCAGGCCACCGGGCCTGACACTTACTGTGTTGTCTCTTAACGTGCTAGTGACACCCCTGCTTTTCATTGGGGGGGATGTTGCATCGTCTGCCGAGTCTTTTGCTTTCGTAGTGAGTGATTTTCGTGTGCAAGTTCTGTACTAGTCCCTCTAGGATTTTCCAGATGTATATAATCATGTATCTCTCCCGCCTGCGTTCCAGGGAGTACAGGTTCAGGAACTTCAAGCGCTCCCAGTAATTGAGGTGTTTTATCTCCGTTATGCGCGCCGTGAAGGTTCTCTGTACATTTTCTAGGTCAGCAATTTCACCTGCCTTGAAAGGTGCTGTTAGTATGCAGCAATATTCCAGCCTAGATAGAACAAGCGACCTGAAGAGTGTCATCATGGGTTTGGCATACCTAGTCTTGAAGGTTCTCATTATCCATCCTGTCATTTTTCTAGTAGATGCGATTGATACAATGTTATTTTCCTTGAAGGTGAGATCGTCTGACATGATCACTCCCAGGTCTTTGACGTTGGTTTTTCGCTCTATTATGTGGTTGGAATTTGTTTTGTACTCTGATGAAGATTTAATTTCCTCATGTTTACCATATCGGAGTAATTGAAATTTCTCATCGTTGAACTTCATATTGTTTTCTGCAGCCCATTGAAAGATTTGGTTGATGTCCGCCTGGAGCCTTGCAGTGTCTGCAATGGAAGACACTGTCATGCAGATTTGGGTGTCATCTGCAAAGGAAGACACAGTGCTGTGGCTTACATCCTTGTCTATGTCAGATATGAGGATGAGGAACAAGATGGGAGCTAGTACTGTGCCTTGCGGAACAGAGCTTTTCACCGTAGCCGCCTCAGACTTTACTCTGTTGACTACTACTCTTTGTGTTTTACTAGTCAGGAAATCATACATCCATCTACCAACTTTTCCTCTTATTCCTTTAGCACGCATTTTGTGTGTTAATACGCCATGGTCACACTTGTCGAAGGTTTTTGTAAAGTCTGTGTATATTACATCTGCATTCTTTTTGTCTTCTAATGCATCTAGGACCTTGTCGTAGTGATCCAGTAGTTGGGACAGACAGGAGCGACCTGCTCTAAACCCATGTTGCCCTGGGTTGTGTAATTGATGGGTCTCTAGGTGGGTGGTGATCTTGCTTCTTAGGACCCTTTCAAAGATTTTTATGACATGGGATGTTAGTGCTATCGGTCTGTAGTTCTTTGCTATTGCTCTACTGCCCCCCTTTGTGGAGTGGGGCTATGTCTGTTGTTTTTAGTAACTGTGGGACGACCCCCGTGTCCATGCTCCCTCTCCATAGGATGTGAAAACCACGTGATAGGGGCTTCTTGCAGTTCTTGATGAACACTGAGTTCCATGAGTCTGGCCCTGGGGCAGAGTGCATGGGCATGTTATTTATCGCCTGTTCAAAGTCATTTGGCGTCAGGATAACATCAGATAGGCTTGTGTTTACCAAATTCTGTGGCTCTCTCATAAAAAAAAATCATTTAGATCTTCGACTCTCAGTCTGGTGAGCGGCTTGCTAAAAACTGAGTCATATTGGGACTTGAGTAGCTCACTCATTTCCTTGCTGTCATCTGTGTAGGACCCATCTTGTTTAAGTAGGGGCCCGATACTGGATGTTGTTCTCGACTTTGATTTGGCATAAGAAAAGAAATACTTTGGGTTTCTTTCAATTTCATTTATGTCTTTTACTTCTTCCCGCGATTCCTGACTCCTATAAGATTCCTTTAGCTTTATTTAGTTCGATGTTTGCTATTTCTCTGACCAGTGTCTTCCTATGCATTGCACATATATTGGCCTCTTTTAGCCGCTCTGTTATTCTTTTCCGTCGCCTGTAAAGGGAGCGCCTGTCTTCAGTGGTCAGTCGTCACGTGAGGTCACAGACCCTGAGCTGCTTTGGGGATTAGTGTGGACGGTTACAAAGCATGGCTTGCTTCTGCAGTGTTTTAAAAATTGAGGTTGGAGAGTTGAAGGAGGAGGTCTTGCTTCTCCAGGAGGAGATTAGGAGGCTGAAGGACCACTTCAATGGGTCTGGGAGAGAGTGTGAGGTGGCTGGAGTTGTGGGGAATGAGGCTTCAAGTGAGGTGCAGTCTATCTCTCGCTGTGAGGAGGCTGTAGTTGGGGAGGTAGCAACGGCTACCAGCAGTGAGGTGCAGTCCAGCACCTGCTACAAGTGGCGAGTGGTTCACAGTAATGGAAGGCGCATCAGAGTAAGGAAAGTTAAGAGTGAAGATCTGAAGGTAGGAAATCGCTTCTCTGTTCTTCAGGATGAATGTACTTCAGTGGCAGTGAAGGTAAGGGTACTACTGCCCCTGCTAATGGAGGTAAGCGCATTCTTGTGGTTGGTGACTCTCAGGTAAGATATATTGACCGTGCTTTTTGTAATAGGAATAAGAAGATGAGAGATAGAGTGTGCTTCCCTGGAGCTGGTGTTGGGGGCATTGTCAACAGGCTGGATAATATCATGTCAGGTAATGGGAACAAGCCCATTATCTGTCTCAGTGCTGGTGGAAATGATATTGGGAAGGGTATGAGAGAAGAGCTGCTAGATAAGTACAGGTCAGCTATAGATTTCATTAAGTCTAAGGGAGGGATCCCAATCATATGTAGCATCTTGCCTAGAAGGGGAGTAGGAAATGAATGGTTGTCCTAGGGCAATTGGTGTAAATTGCTGGCTAGACAGATACTACAAGGAACTTGCAATCCCATTCATTGACAACTGGAACAACTTTTATGGCAAACATGATATGTATGCAAGGGATGGGGTACATCTCTCTGGGCTGGGGTGGTAGCACTTGCAGACTCGATTGAGAAGGCCATTGGTGAAATGCCTATGATTTTAAACTGATGGAAGATAGAGGTATGGGTGTGTGTGGGAAACAAGCAGGTTGCAACACTTGGGTTGGAAACAGTAAATGTATAAAAGGCATTCAGCATGAAGTTATAAATAAAGACAATAGATCAGGTCAGCAAACAAAGGGGGACAGCAGAGGGCAGCAAGGGACTAGCTCCCTTAAGGTTTACTATACTAATAGCAGGAGTGTAAGAAATAAGATAGATGAGCTAAGATTAATTGCAAGTGCAGGAAACATAGATATTATTGCTATAACAGAGACCTGGCTCAATCTGAAAGATAGAGAGATGCCCTCTGAATGTCACATACAAGGCTATAAATTATTCCACACTGACAGGGTCAACAGGAAAGGTGGTGGAGTAGCGATGTATGTCAGAGACAATTTAAATTGTTGTGTTAGACAAGATATTAAATTAGAAGCGTCAGCCACTGAATCTGTTTGGTTACAGCTTCTCGAGGGCCGAGAAAAACTAATTTTGGGTGTGATTTACAGGGCCCCAAATCTTGATAGGGAGTGCAGTAAACTTCTATGGGACGAAATTCGTAAGGCATCTACATACGAAAATGTTGTGCTAATGGGAGATTTCAACTATAGACAGATTGACTGGAGCAATTTGACAGGAAATTTAGAGTCAGGTGACTTTCTTGATACGATCCAGGATTGTTTTTTAAAACAGTTTGTGACAGAGCCAACTAGGGGAAATAACCTCCTTGACTTGGTTCTTGCCAGTAGGGAAACACTAATTAATAATCTTGAGGTTAATGATGAGCTTGGGGAAAGTGATCACAAATCACTCAGTTTTAATATATCATGGAATTCCCCTAATAATGGCAATCAAGTCT